CGTTGGAGATTTCTCTTTTTCTTCCTGGGTACACTGACGTGCCCATACCCAAATGAATCCATTGGTCCAAATGGACCAATCTGTGGAGCCGTTACGTTACGTCCGCGGAGCCGTTACATTTGGACCAATCCGCGGACTTCCTCACACACACACACTCAATCTTTTCTCAGCTGCAGCTCCGCCGTTTTCTCCTCTCTGAGACGGCGGCACGCGGCGAGGCTGTTAGTCGGTGTGTGACCACACACACAAACTCCCAGCCAGACTGCAGGTGTGTGTGTTCGGGCTGGGTTTCGCTGTGTCTCGCTGTCTCGCAGACGGCCACTGGGCACGGAGGGGGCGGCAGGAGCTCCAACAAGCCGTTTAGGACAGAGAGTGAATACACATACTATACAGAGATGCTGTATGAGAAACCAATGTGATTTTGGAAAATTGCACAATATACATTTATTTTAGTATACCTCAACAATGGAATTATTATCAGTAGAAATGGCCATGACCTTTAAGTGACTTTATTTAGTTGAAATTTATTATTTGAGGACATCTTGCCCGGTGTACATTTGAGTTTTATGCCTAAAAAAATACATTTTGAGCTGCTGTCTAAACATAGAAACTTCAGGCTACTATCATTAGAGGAACACTGATAATTTAGGAAATGTTCTGTTTGTGTTTTTTTAGAGTCAGATACGAATATATCAGTTAACTCTTAAAACTAAAAAGTGAAAAAAACCTTTGCACAGCACTGCTCCCATATGCATCCTTTTATACAAAAAGATTAACATGACGCCTGTAAACTCCCACAGGCTCCACCTGCTGCTGAAAACGAAAACCTCGACCCAGACGCCTCCCCCGCCCCCCCGGCACCCTCTGCTTCTAAGGTTCCCTCTTACGAAACTGGTTTCAGAGCGGACCACTCTGTTCCTGGACTCTCCCACTGCAGGGGCGCTCAGGCTCCGAGGCGGGGGCCGAGGAGAGGAGGCCGGTTCCGACCGCAACATCACCGGAGAGCGGCCCCCGTCACGGAGCACCTGCACAAACTGTCTCTGTCCTGCCACGAGGGGCTGATTAAAGCTCAGGGTAACCAACAAATGCAAGAGAATGCAGAATTCTGTCAGTCTAAGACAGGCAGGGTGGTCCCGGCAGAGACCCCGATGTCTGGGGAGGGTCCCCCACTGTACCAGGCAGCCTTGGACACTGAATGCCCAAAAGAAGCTGCAGGCGGGCGGGGTCACCGTGGAAGGAGAAGGGCTCCTCACTGGGGGGGCTCGGACCCAACCACCGGGCGCTACCAGTGGGACGGGCGGGCTTCAAGAAGCAGGGGAGGGCCCAACAACCTGCACGACAGAGGTGGGGGGCCCCGCCGGGGTCACGTCAGGGGCTTCCAGCACAATGTGGTAGAGAGAGAGAGGGCGAGGGAGGAGGTTCTATGACAAAGGGCAACAGGAGGGCCAGTGAACAAATGTGCGTGTGCCTCCATTTTCAGTCAGCGTAAATTAAAGCCCTGCACCAGAAACGACTTTCAGCTTAGTTTCCTTTCCTCCCGTACATTGCCGTTAACCCGCTCTATGGTTTGTACTGACATGCACACTAATATCAGATACAGATGGTTGTTGCTTTTCGTTGTGGTGCTATATGACTTGAAAGAACTGCAGATTAAATGTTCTGTGTGTCATATTGCATCTGTGTTCCCTGTCCTTTTTTTGATGAAGGGTTAGTTCAGTTACACAGACATTTGCAGCTTAATATATTGTTTGATTGACAATAATATTGCAAATTCAGGTAACTGTATTGTTGCAGGAAATATGATCCTATGGTACATACAGTGCCTGGTTTATACCTCAAGTTACTGTTTTTTCTGGAGGTGAACATTCAAATACATGTTAAATAAAATAAAACCAACCAACACTAGGTAAAATGGCTAAATTAGCTCCACCTGGGTCTTCTGCAAAATAAAAGGTGGAGTTGTCGGATATAATAACCAAGCATTGTTAGTTAGTTAGTTAGTTACAAAGTACATTTGATGAAAACACTGCAGTACTGTCACCTGAGTACATTTTTAAATGCAAGAATAAAATGTGTTTTATAGACTGATTGGGCTAGAAATACCCCCATGAAGAATGGGTTTCTTGTTTTAAAGGAACTATTTTCCTGAAAAAAACAAAGTGACAAAAATACAAACATGAGGATTTCATAGAATACAAGATGAATTTCTGCAGATTAAACTGCCCAACATTTTATAAAGCAGTTAAAAGACGTACAACTTTGCAATGCAATGCATGCTGTAATATTAATGGAGAAACACAAAAAATATCATTAAAGCACTGACGGGGCACATTTTGCTGCATAACTAATACTTTAACTTTTAAGTACGTTAACTACATATCACTGGGCAATAGGCTAAATACTTTTCCGTAATTTAACTGATTACTTACAGTTACTGTTAAATACTGAATGGAATACTTTCACTTGTACTGGTGTATTTTAACACTGTGAGATAAGTGTTTTCACTTCAGGTTCAATATAAGACTCATGGGAGATGTAGTTGTTTGGGAGAGGCGGAAACTGAACTACGTAATGATGAAGCTCCCACCGACGCCATCTTGGCAGTTTTTTTTTTTTTTGTAGACCAGCCTCTGAGAATACTCTGCGCAGGATCGCAGAGGCGTGTTGTTGTTTTCAAAACGGCTAAGGTTATGACTGGCGGGACCGACTTTATCAAAAGCTACACGAATAACACGGACTCAGAGCCTGTAATGGATGTAGACATGGATTCTAGTCATATGGAGAGTGAGCGGGGTGAAATGGACAGTCTTATCCCGGCTGCGTGCTCTTCAAACGGCAGTGGCGGGGAGGATGATGAGGCGGAGGCCATTGGCCGTCTGAGAGAAGCCGGGGGATCGAGTATTCACTACACCCCGGAAGGTGGTGGGGTGTTCTGCTGCGGCAGGGAGCAGGAGGTGTCGGTCGAGATTGGAGAAACGTATTTATGTCAACGAGCCGACAAGACGTGGCGTGAGTGATGTCTCTGTTTCAGTTAGTGGGTTAACGTTAGAAGCGTGCACTCTGCTTGTGTTTTAGGCCAAATTCACACCAAATTAAATTGAAATGTTGCGCAAAGTCTTATTGATTCTCGTGACAGTCAGACGTTACTGTGATATTTGTATATCTTTCTGCAACATTCGGCATGGGTTATAAAACCATAACAGTGCAAACAGCTGGCTTGCTAATCAAATTGTATTTCTAATGGATTAAATAGAATAACGTTTCAGTTTCAGTGATTATGAGATTGCCGAATTGTATTATAGACCAACACATAACATGTCATTTTTTATCATTTGAGATAGCAATAAGTGGGTATGCAAAAAAACGAGTCACGTCGCAGACAAATGAATGGAGTTTGGCGAGTCGTGACATTCAGCAGTTGCAAAGCTTATTATTTGTACCTGACCCCAGTCTCATTCGATCTTTCTCACTTTCCAGATACAGCAGAGGTTATTCAGTCCCGACTGAATGAACAGGAGGGAAGGGAGGAGTTCTATGTCCACTATGTAGGATGTAAGTACATGAACAAATGATAGTGATAATCATGAATGCAATGCACATTTAACACCTTAACATCTACATCATCAATGTTTATTTGCTAATGCTCTATTGTCATTTTGCTTTCTTTGTATACCCTTTTTTTATTTGACCATACCCACTTTCTCCCCCTACCCACTACTCTGACAATAACCATGATGATCTTTTATTTGGCATGCAGTCAACAGACGGCTAGATGAATGGGTGCTAAAGGGCCGCCTGGCACTCACCAAGCAGGTGAAGGATGCAGTGAGGAAGAGCACAGAGATCGGAGCCATTGGGGATTTGGGTGAACAGCCTGAAAGGAAAATCACTCGCAACCAGAAGCGCAAGCATGATGAGATCAACCATGTACAGAAGGTACGGGTGTTTTCCGTTATGTCTGTTATATTTCATGCTACTTTTCTAAATGGTAGATATGTATCTAATAGTGATTTCTTTGCAGACGTACGCTGAGATGGACCCAACAACAGCTGCGCTTGAGAAGGAGCATGAGGCGGTAAGTTTCTGTTATTAAAGACTAGAAATACAGTAAGCAAATAACCTTGGTCTCCTTCTCTACATTATTTACATAATTTAGCTTGTGTATTTATTGTTGTTTGTGATTTAAGTTATTGTTCCTCGCTGTACTCAATGGCATGTCTCTCCCTCAGATCACCAAAGTGAAATATGTGGATAAGATCCAGATAGGAAACTTTGAGATTGACGCCTGGTACTTTTCGCCGTTTCCAGAGGACTACGGCAAGCAGCCCAAGCTGTGGATCTGCGAGTATTGCCTTAAATACATGAAGTTCGAAAAGACCTTCAGACATCACCTTGTAAGTGCAGCTTACCCCTCGCTTTATGATGCTGGGAATGGTTGATTTTTTGCAAACAAAAGCCCCATCTTTGAAATAGTCGGGAATATTGTACTTGCCAATGTATCTGTTGCTCCAATTTCCTCTATCCAAGTCTTAAGGATAGAGATATAACTTTTGAAATAAAATGTATTTTTCTTCTAAATGAACAGTCATAGTAAATGTGCTGCAGAATGTCTTGAATTTTAACTAAAACTGAAAAAAAACGGAAAAGGTGCTTTTCTTTGTGACACACGTTTTCCCACCTGTGAAAGCAACATTTCCTAATGTTTTGCACCATGGCTAAAAATAGCTGTGATTAAGTGACGACCTGACTGCAAGAGGTTTGAACTTTATGACTTTGTCTCCTCAGTCCCATTGTCAGTGGAAGCAGCCTTCAGGCAAAGAAATCTACAGAAGAAGCAACATATCGGTGTATGAAGTAGATGGGCGGGACCACAAGGTGAGTCCACCTGGAGGCTTTAGCAACCCCTGAATATTAATTACTACTTAATGCTTAATAATGGTCTCTGTGTCAATTCTGTGTTTCTAGTGGAATAAAACATTCATTTTATTTATTTACAAAAAATTATTTTAGGAATCAGTTAATTCTGTAAGAAATACTTTTTTTTGTGATGGTGTTGATCATCGTATGATTCATTGTTGGTCTCTGTTTGCAGATCTACTGTCAAAATCTTTGTCTTCTAGCTAAACTATTCCTCGACCACAAGACGCTTTATTTTGACGTAGAGCCCTTCATCTTCTACATTCTCACTGAAGTCAACAAACAGGGAGCGCACATCGTCGGCTACTTCTCCAAAGTACGTTTGTTTTTTTTTGGTGTCCGGTTTTTTTGTTTTTTGTGAGTTTTATTTCTTAGCCACAGTTATGTTTATATACCATGTTTCTTAATAATAGGCAATGTATGTATCTCTGTGGAAGTGTTGCATGCATTTCTCTACTTACAAAACATTTTTAAAAGTGTGTAAATCTCAATGTTTGACTAACAATAGTGGTGGGGAGCATCTCATACTGAAACTAGAGAATGCAATTCCTGAAGAAATTGCTAGTGGGAATGCTTTATGCTGAAAACCTGACGTTAAACTGCTATGCTGAATTGTAATGTGTAAGAAGAAAGTGAAGAATTTAGATTGAAATGATACATGAACACAGGGGGCTTGAATGTGTGATGAGAAGAAAAGAAAGTAAAAAGGCTTGGAAAAGCAGCAGAATATTTGAACTGCAAACTTGTGAACTAACTTGATGGCGAATGATCTGTCGCCATGGCAACGGTATTTGATGACACCCCATAATACGCTTAGATGCGTTGATGGCTGCATCGTTACCAAACCTGTGAAGTCTTTTGCCGTTTGGAGCATTTTCACTGAAGTTATGAGAAAACCGTGTTTCATGGCGAGCCTTGTGTTGCCATGGCAACGGCATTTGGAGAAATCTAAAAACTGTCACGTAGATGTCGTCACGGCTGGACTGTTAGCACACATGTGAAGTTTGAGCACTTTTTGAACATTTTCATAGGAGTTATAGCAATATCGTGTTTGACGACGAGGGATGCGTTTCCATGGAAACGGCATATAGTGAGATCTCAGATTTGGCGTAGAGCTGTTGAGGCATGGACCGGTGATATACAAGTGAAGATTGGGGGCGATTATAATTATTTTGCTTACATTTTTTTTATCTTTCAAGCTACGAGATGTTTTCCTACGTTTCTCATGAAAATATGTGTCTCAGGAATGTAGGGTTTGGGAATTATGGCAGGTTTAAAAGAAAATAAGAACGCAAAATGAAATCTGTCCTTCACTCTAGCTGTGACATCACACACTCTAAAATCTGAAGAAGGCCTCTTTACCAAGATCTGAACAATGTTTAATAAGAATCGGATTTAAAAGTTGTTTAACATGAATAATGTCAGAAGGATGTGGCACGTTTTAAAGTTGGAATGAGGTTTCTGAGTGAAAGTATGAATGAACAGTTGAAGTTGAAGTTGCATGAAGATTGTTGAAGTCTGAAGAGTTTCTCCATTGACTTCCATGTTAAAAATATGATGTATTATGGGATGTATCTCTGGAATTATGAAAGTTATGAATGAGAAAAGTAATAGCCATCGATTCCCGACTGAACTGAACGTTTTGATGTTTGAACGGAGTTTCTGCGATGGATGTGGAATGTGGGAGAAGAAGAGGCGCAAAATAACCCGGCGGAATAATAAAGAATTTCGTTCGTCGAAGAACATTTTCCCACTAAATTAAACTACTTCTCACTTGATTTAATACCTCAGTAAACATTTTCATAATTATTTGTTTGGTTTAAATCTCTAGTTTCAAGTCACCTTAAACTCTATATGATATTTAATTTTTAAATCATGGTGCCATTTACAGTAAAATAGACGATAAAGTTGGGTATGCTTTACCATGTGATTGATTTACTGTTTTCGTCTTACACATCATCCCTTTCACGGTTTGTTTTCAGTTCATGAAAATAAGTATTCACATTTTGGTCAATTAAAAACATAAATTTTTTATAGTTCGGGTGTGCTTTGCTTAACTCAACCGTATCAGTTCTGGTTCCAAAAAAAATAAGATGGTGACCGCCAAAATGCCAACTCAAGGCTTTAAAACTGTAGCTCTATACAAACACCACTATACTACATCTATTTCTTATATAGCCTTTGCAAATAAACTGAATAATATAACTTTAAAAAGTGTTTCAATCTTATTACTTCATATAGAGCTGTTTTAAGTAACTTGCTTCATGTACATCACAATGTGTTTATTAACCATGTTTAATTAGCACTTTGTTGGATTTTGCTTTCATCGATGTACCCACTTTTCCACCAACACTTTTGTATATTGACAGCTTTTGTCATTTAACAATTTTGGTTTGTTCTGGCCTTTGCAAGTATTACAGCTCAATGATGAACCTATAGCGGGTGAACCACATTTGTACAGCTGTTCCGTCTTAGTTATTTCCGTATACTCTCACAGCATAAAGTCTTAACTGGAGCATCAGGGAGGAAGACATCAACCATCAGCATAACAAATACCAAGCTTTCAACTTAAACGACTGCAGGCACATTAGGGATGGATCTTGCTTTGTGGACAATGGGTATAGTCTCGCTCCATTGATTTCTCACCAGCGTTTATTGCACTCCATCGACGGCTAATGCCCCTAAGATCCTGCCGCAGCCTGAATTATTCAGCAAGAGGGTTTTGTTTTTGTGTCAGAGCCGCGGGGGTAATTCTAGATCGCCGATATTTGATGATCTGCTGCAGGAGTAAAATGTCTATTCTCAGGGTAGCAGAGTGACTTTTCTGAATGGTGATGTCCGTATCAGGTGGAGAAAGGCCCGTGACAGTGATATTTAGCGTCTGGCTTTGCTCCAATATTGTCCCAGGCGGCATCAAGGCTTTTCATTTCAAAACAGGACAGACAGGTGGAATGAGACGGAACAGGAGATGACCGACTTCTCAATATCACGGGGGATTAAAAGAGGCATTGATGGAAGAGCTCAGAATGGGAAAGAATAGACAAAGATAGAAAAAAAGGGATGAAGAAGAGACAGAAACACAAAAAGGGTGGGTACAGAGCAACAAAAAAAAGCAAAACCACCGAGGATAACACAATAGCACAGAAGATAAATTAAAACTAGTCAAAACAGCTGGTTTCACACCTTGAATGATACAAGTAAATATTACATTTTTAACACGACAGAAAGGATTTAACTTAGGAAGAGTTCAGACATCAATATTTGGTGGTATAACCCTGATTTACAATCACAGCTCTCATGTTTGTTGGCATCCTCTCCACTAGTGCTATTGTGGGACTTAATGCCAGCAGATAAACAGATAATCTTGCAGTGGTCTCTTAATGTTCTCCGGAGCTGTATATACACAGAGAGAGAAAGAAAGGATCCGAAGAGACGAGAGGAGAGGACAAAAGTGCGTTGGTTAAGATTCAGGGCAGGCGGTGGCGCGGGGCTATCATTACCATACATCAGGACAATAAATGAGGCTTTCAGCGGGCCGTAATAAGAGTTTGATGAATCATCGGGGCCAGAATTAACTAGACGTCAAAACAATGTGAGGGCTCTGACGGATGGCAGAGGAGTGGCCGATGGCACAGATTAGTCTAGCTGGAAGTGAAGGAGCGCTGAAGGAAGAGAGGGGGGGGGGAGACATGAGGGAGAGGAGAAGGAGGGGAGGAGAGGTGAGGAGCACAAGGACAGAGGCAGGCAGACTGTTAAACAGAGGAATGAGACTCGGTCACGTTCATGTTGATAAGGAAGTTTGGATCACACTGGAAATGTGTGTTTGTATCAGTGTGTCCCAGATGGGTTTTAAAATAACCTGACCTCTGACCTCAGGGAGATGTGTGTTTATGCTAGACTGTATAAGTAATGGATGCAGTTAGCATTTAGGGTTGAGTGGGGCTAAGTATTTATGCGACAAAAATGGTAATATTAATTTATATGAACACGCTCTAATGTAGTCTAATCTTATTATATCTAATTTAATCTCAAATTGTAAGACTAAAATGCAGTCAACATCCAAACCAGGACATTATGGTACCTGCTACATTTTAATCCAAATATTTCGAACAATTGTACCTAATTTCGAGAAAAACAGCAAAAGAAAATGGTTGTTTTCATCCAATACCATGCAACGATAAGGAGTTGTTCATTGAGGTAAACAGTAGGTGGCGCCAATTGTCATATCACACAATAAGGAACTAGAAGTCTAATAAGCGCTAGTTGGACCCAATAAGGTAAATACAAATAAAAAAGTGGAAATTGTATGTTAAGGCTTTTACTGATTCACAAACCTGCAAACCTCAGCCGAGATAAAAGACTGTCGCAATATTTCAACATTTTTTATTGTAGAAATTGAAATGCACATTATTTCTGAATAAAACCATCAGTTATAAATAATAAACATCATGCTCAAATAAATAAGACTTGAAACCAGTGTTTGAGGCCATAAACTCACCAGAGAAATGTTTCATGAGGTAGTAAATGAATTTAGAAGTACAGCCATTTTCTCATAGGCTTCTACACAATCTGACTTATTTTCGCCCCCTGCTGGATATAAGAGAGAACAGATTCTGTTCATTTGTGTGCATGTTTTTTCGTGTGTCGAGCTCTCAGCACCCCACAGTTAATCCTGTTGGTTATCATGATGAGAGGTTAGTGCAGCGCTGCTACTGTCCATCTCCCTTCTCTCCCCCAACCCTGTCCTCACCCCCAGTGGGGTAGCTTTAATTGCCAGGCTCTGACCTTTGCCGAGCGGCAGTGACAAGGCCTGTCTGTAGCGGTGGGAGGTGGTAGCAGCTCGATTAGCTGTGACAGCAGAGCGAGGTGATCGTGGGGGGGGAGTGAGAGAGAAAGGGAAGTGTGGGGGCGGGGGAGAGAGAAGGAAAGAATAGGGCGAGTAGAAAGCCAGTTGCCAGCTAAGTGGCGCCACCTCATCCTCTGAGCAGTGAGCGGAGAGCGAGTCCTGCGAGCGAGGCAATGGTGACGAACGAGAGAGTGTTTTGTGTGTGGCTGTGTGTGTGTGTGTGTGTGTGGTGTGGTGTGTGTGTGTGTGTGTGTGTGTGTGTGTGTGCGTGTGTGTGTGTGTGTGTCGTGTGGTGTGCTGGTGTGTGTGTGGTGTGTGTGGCCCTGTGTGCGTGTGTGTGTGTGTGTGTGTGTGTGTTGTGTGTGTGTGTGTGAGACACTGTGTGTGTATGAGCAAAGTGAAATGGACAGTTAGACTTTGAACAGGAACGAGGCACCAATACCAGTGAGCTGGAAGATAATTTGTCCCAATCTAAGTCACCCTGGCTCCCCACTCTCACACCCACACACGCACACCACACACACACACACACACACACACAACACACACACAGCCACCACACACCACACACACACAACCACACCAACACACACACACACACACACCACACACACCTGATGTACACTCCCTTCTCTGTTAGGTCCTACACGCAGAATTGAACGGTCTCTGAAGAGTCAAAAGGTGGCATCCTGCGCAGAGAACACTGAGTCTTCATCAGCTGTGCTTTCTTTCATGCATACTAAAGAATACGCTTTAGCCTATGCTGTTACAGGAACATCCCAGGAATGATTCAGCAATAGATACATCCTAGTAGCAGCAAAGTTGCTCCAATCAAGTTTTGCAGTCTATGGAAAGTAAGCTGTAATTTATGGGACAGGCAGCACCTCACAATGTGCTGTTGTGTTTCCCGCTGTAAAGGTTTGGAGCATACAACCAAATAAAATTATGGGTTCTTCGACACCAGTATAGTGTTAAGCAATGTCACAATCTAATTTAAAAATTAGCGTTAGTTCATAGCCTTTACTTTGTTTTGTGCTGTGTTGACGGAAAACCCCAATTGCTTTTGACCAAAACTATACCGCTAGGTACCAAAGATGGTTGGTCAGTGAATGGGTTAGAAGCTGTCCCGTCCGGGGCGTTCACATTCAACTTTTTGAACGTTATGAGTGCCACCATCTGGGCACTCATAGCACATTCTGCCAACTGACATTGGATGCACCCGTAACCACTCGTAAAAGACATTTAAGGCAAACGTACCAAATGAGACACTGCATTCGCCCGTATTTAGCATTGTGCGTCACCATGAATAAACAAATCTCAGATGCAGCTGCCTCTATTAATGAACCACAACTAGCGTATTTCAAGTAGTTTGTTCATTCCCCATCTATCTCTAAAAATGTTTAATTCAATGCAGGTAATAGCCCACATTTGTGAGTCAAAGGTGTTTTTCCACCACTGATGAAATTAGCTCAGCAACTTGGATCCAGTTTGCCAGATAAGGAATCATTGCCCCTTGGATCGTAGTTATTGAAATTCAAGTGCATTAAAGATCTCTGCGGGACAAGATGTTTCTGGGAAAAAACACCCTAGTCTTGGGCTGCCTGTGGCCACCAGTCAAAACCCTTCAAGATTCAGCTCCTTTTATTGCATTTTCGGTACCGGTTTTGAAACCATAATACAACTGAAGAAGTGATAGCAAAGGCACGGCAGACCAGGGAGGAAGAATGAGGTGCAACCTGGAGCTCACAACCCACCAAAGCTATCACATGGCCGCACTGCACCACTAAACCTCCGCTGAACCTGACACCACAACCACAACTTCATATCTAATCTCACTCTACCCAGTAATATCACATTCATACATGTACAACACCCTCAACTGCTTCTTAATATTCAACTAAGGAGCAACCACACTCTGTAGTCGTTGGTGCACTAGTGTCAGTGCTGGAGCCACTGGGAACATTTGGTTTGAAACACTGCGCCTGAGTACAGTCAGTTTACAGCTCTATTTAAAAACGGACATAAACTTTTTCGGGGTCACCCCTTGTACATAACTATGATACTTCTTTTAAAATCCTGCAATAGAAGGACTCGAGCATCGCTAATCTGTTAATCGACCCCACATGTGAAGTTCAGACGTTTCGTGGCCGGGGGACAACTCGGCTGGCCACGGGAAGTTAAAATGTCGTCTCGCGCGGCACCCACTTTAGATATTTATCTCTGGTTTGACTGTGAAGCAAATGGAAGAAACCCTCAAGAACATGCTGTTGCTGATTTACTGTAAAGTGATCCTTATGGAAGGAAATTGAGACAGAAATGCAAAATCTGAAATGAAACTTGTTGTAAGAGTTCAAGAAAAATTTCGATGTTCAATATGTAAGTCTACTAGAGTGATTGTGATGTTTCAGACTTAAGTATCACCGACTGTTTGATCA